AAGTAACCTCGTGGACATCCCCAGGACAGGGCCAGGCAACCTACGTCATTGTCCCACAGGATTGGGCCCTACCACTCTTGAGGGCGACAACTATACCTGCCAATAAATGAGATCAGCTGTGCTGGGACACATCCTGGAAGAGCTGATCCCATAACAAAAACAACATCTGTTTGTGTCTTCTAAGGCAGTGGCTCTCAAGCTCAGGGCATGACCCAAATCAGGGTCGCCCCTCACTCTGCCTCTCTCACCTGCAGGGCTCTCCTAGCGTATGGTCTATGTGGCTTTCACTGCTGCTGCCTGCCATGATCCCAGCCCAACCTGGGCTCTGTTGGCACCGTTGGACATGAGTTGGTGGCAGGGATGGGGCAGGGGTTGCAACCTGGATTTAGCGTCACAGCAAGAAAAGGTTGGGAGCCACCGCTCTAAGGCACTGATTTTTCTAGGTCTTCCCATGGGTGGTGAGCCTACTCACACCTTTTTTCTGGCAAAGATTGCACAGTTAGAATCTCATTTTGCCCCAGGAAAATCTCTGTCTCACCTCTCACAGAGTCAGTAGGTCAGCTTTGAAAAGAAGGCTAGGGGGGATTATTGCACGGTGTACAGGAGATAAATGTTTACACCCTCACTGGCTGTAAACATGACCCCCCATGCCTCATGGTTGTAGGCGTACCTCATGGCCCCTGGTTGTGTATCCTAATTAATAGACCACTGGGGTAATGAGTTGGAGAACTCCCCTCCTCTTCTCCTGGCCTGGCTTGTATGTGCATACCTGGGTGATTCTATTCTGTCACAGGTGGAGAGAGGATCTAAAAGCTATGTAAGTGCCAAAAACTGAACTTATATAAGTCAATAAAATCACAGTCAGAAAATGGTGAAATGGGACTTAGCCCAACTGATGCTGGAAGCAAATATCCCAGTGCCCTTATATTTTTAGGGCAAAAAGTTTATAAATGATTAAAGAGCAAATGAAAGAAAGACAATGCTTAAAACTTTAAGTCTATGGACAGCTCACAGGAAAGGGTACAATGTTTTTACTTAATATTCTTATAAGAATACTTTAAAAATCTGTAATGGCTAAGATATCTAATGCAGCATAGAAGGATGTCCTGCATCCCAGTTCTATTTCCACAATTGGAAATGACAATGAGGGCCAGTGGATTTGGACAACCAAACACTTGTTAACTGCATTATGATTTGAGAAGTTTACTGAATAGGATATTAAAAAGGATTACTGTCCTTTTCGCCTATAATAAAATGGCAAACATATAGCCTGTCCTATAGTCAAAGTGCAAAAGTATGACCTTTGCTTCATAAATATAATTCTAGAATAATTCTACTGATTTCCACTGAGATATTTATATTTGTATTAGTATGACTGAAATAAAAATCTGACCAAAAGCACATAACCTATTCTACTGTCTCAATCTACCAAAATATTACTGGGGATTGTCTGAGGAATGTAATTCAATAGAGATAAGAAAACTTACTAGATGGATTTTTTTATTGTTTCTGTGGTTTGACTTTTTCCTATGCATACCCATGATAAGCTAAAAAGCAAGTAATGTTTTATTTGTCATAAAAGTAATATATCAAGCACCTTGGTAAAATAAGAACATAGCAATGCAGCAAACTGTGATTCTATTTGATTCAAGTTGGTAATATCTAGGGTTAGACTCACAAGATCTGCTTTTTTGATAATGCTTTATCTTAAATGAAGCATGTAAGTAACATTTCTTGGTACAGTTACAGTATACAGATGATATATTTTCTAAACAGAAAAAGTAACTACAGAAAAAAGCTTTTCCATAACAGCCAATGTGCCAGCTGTACTGAGTATTAAGGCCATCTTACTAAGACTATGAAAGTAAACATACAGTTTTCATTAAATGTGCCTTTCCCATAATTGGTACATAAGTATTTCCCATGACTCTGCAGTTGAGTATCTTGGCTGGAGGCATATCTGGCCATTAGGAGGAGGGCTTCAGATCTGTTGAGTCTCAACCATGCTGGGAGACTTGGCACCTCCACATACTGCTTCCTAATACCAACCCCAGTATAAAATGTCATCAGAAGCTTGCATAAACATTGGACTTAGCTTCACATAAATTACTGCTGTCCTGAGATAGTTTATGCCAGAACTTAGTAAAAACAACACTTTGAGTAAATAGAATATGAGTAAATGCAAGGATCTTAATCTAAGAAAATGATAATAGAAAAATTGTATATCAAATACAAACTCATAAATATAGCGATAAAGTGAAATTTTATCTCATACCACCCTGATTAGTTTTTATTTACATACTGTGATAACTAAAGTGATATATTTTCTGAAAATTACACGAAGTATGAAAGAAGCACACGAATGAAACAACAATAATGCAATACTTTTAAGGATCAACTGCTCAGCAGAAACAGTGACACATCTTTGCCTATTAATCCATATCAATTCACTTGATATCCATGCAGATATCTTGTGTACTTTTTTGGATTTTTCTGTTATAATTTAGCATTAACAATGGACATTGGAGTATTAAGAGTCTGGCACAAAGAAATGATTTATACTGGTTTTCATTTTTCTTTTATGTTGTTTTTTGGGGGGGGTTTGGTTTTGTTGGCACTGAAGTGAGATCTTACTTGGGAACTTTATATGCTTATACATATACTGTTGCAACAAATGGTATACAATACCAATTCACATGCATAATAAGATACAGAATGGGCATGTAAATGCATATCTAAAAATACATTTATCATTTATTGTACTATTCAATTTTCACTAAGATCCAAAGACTTTTGTCTTTGGGCCCAAATCTGGCTACTTTTGTAGCCACTTTGTTCTAGCCTTGTATCAAAAAAGAGTTGTAAAGGGACCACAAGGACCTCCAGGAAAGCCCTCCAATATAGGGAAAGTATGGATCTTGTGTACACAACCCAATACTCCTCTTTTCCTAATGTGTACTGAGGTGTATGAAAGAGCCTGTTGCACTCTATCAGGGAAGGACTATACTGAGACTAGCCTATCCCCTGGAATACCCTAGATAGCAGTCTTTTGGCAACTTAGGTGAGTCTGCTATAATTTAAGTCAGCCTGGGAATCCTTACATGGGGTGGGGAGGGGGTGAAAGGAAGGGAGAATTAATTGGGTACTGAAACTGCCTGGATTATAGAAAGCACAAAATCAAGTAAAGGCTCCTCTGGCCTGCCTCATCTTGACAGATGTTAAAAGTAAAGGCATGATGGGATCTGATGTGGGATCCCAACAATTGTGCTTTCTAACATGCCACACATGCATGTCAGGAGGTGTGACTGGGGGAACCCACATCAGATCCCACTGTCCCACATTGTTGGTGCATGGGGAGACCAATCCAGGCTCCCTCTGCACTGGCAAGTAGGAAGCTTGGTTCCCTGCACTCCCCTGTCTGGGAGCCCCGATCAGTTAATCACGTTCTAACTGTAACATCTGTCAGGAGCCCCAGTATCCTCAAACCCCTGCAAACATGAGGGCCCCTTTGGATGAGCCTATGCCAAGTGTGGAAGAGAACATTATGCCAAACACATTTTACAAGCTTTGGGGGTTTCAATAATGTATGTTTTGTGAGCTGGGGTGGTGCAAGCACCTACCCTGGAGATTTTCAAAAGGAGACTGGACGCACACCTTGCTGGGGTTATTTGACCCCAGCAGTCTTTCTTGCCCAGAGCAGGGGGCTGGAACCGATCATCTCACAAGGTCCCTTCCAGCCCTAAACTTCTGTGAATCTGTGTAAATATAGCTGATTTTTAAAATTCCTTTTAGGTTTTGGTTTTTTCCCTTTCATATTGTTTCTCTCTTTTTTCTTCCTGTTTTCTTCTAATGTAACAGTCACACAAACCACTTATACTCCTTTATCTTTATCCCTCTCAGATGGTTGTTCTCTTTTCTTCCAAAACCTTTTCCAGTATCTTCCCTTACCCACAATATCCACTTTGTCATTCTCTCATGTTCTGCCTACCTACCACTCTGGGAATAACAGTATTCCCAATGTTATCCTTGCTACATAATTAAAGCATGAATTTCCAGGAGTCTGAAACTCAAGGCCAATTTTATTGCACCTTTCACAGTAAACCAGGTAACAACAGTGGAACTAAAATAGCTTTTTCCTTTGCAGTTAACTGTCTAAAATCTTTTTCTCTTTTTTTTTTAGATTCTAGTATATAAGACTGACAATAGGTTCATGCAGGCTTATTTAGAAAACTTCTCTGTCTTTTGTAAGATATATGTTTCCCCAGATCCCTAGAACAAGTTGTAAACTTGTAACAGATGGTGATGAAGCCTCAAATTTTTATATGATATATTTTAAGATTCTATATTTACTGTATGTACCTTCCAGGAAAATGACCTTGAGGGAGAGGAGAAACTTTAAGATACTATGAGGAAAGACAGGGGAAAAAAGAGGAAGAAAGAAGTGTGTTACATATATTAAATTTAATTTTGCTGTGAAAACCAGCGATTAAATAAATAGGCCTAAAAACAGAAATAAAAACTCATTCTAAGTTTGGTATAACAGTATGGCTTTACATGATACCAGTGAAATCAGGCAACCACAAGCAGAAATGCTTACAAGTTTTATGGCATTTGTTTTGGTTGGGTAATGCTGGAGGACTTACCAAAACATGTACTGGCATAACATCCACCAAGGATTCAAAACATGAATGTTATGAGGGTTGTAGCATTGTAATTACTGACATTTTATTAATGCTTTAGCATTGGCTTGCTCACAGAATGTTTGAGATTAAATCAACAGCATGTCAAACAGGCAAAATATAGAGAAAAATGAGCATTGCTGAGTTTTATTAATATCTTCATTGTAAAAAAAGTAATAAAAAGAAAATAATAGATGCTGATATAGCTAGGTACTACACTATAATATAAATTGAACTGCATACATTCTCTGGCAAATCAAGTGGAGCTGTAAAATTGTAAATACAGGAATGAAAAACAGTGCTAAATATTAAGTTACTCACCTCTTTTTTCAACAGCTCCTATACAAAGTCTTACAAATCGGGGGACTGTGGAATTCTCATGTGCACACACTAACTCCAACGATGAGCCAAAAACTTGATCTGGAGAGGAAAAGAAAGAGGAATATATGAAAGCACTATATTAACAATAATCATCTTGGATCTTCCAAGCTCTGCAAACCAACTATCCCTTTATGGGAGTTAGACAGAAAAAGCACATACCAAATCCTTTCTGACCCTTGCTGATTATTCGTTTATGTCCCAGAACATAAGGTACAAATACATTTATAAACCTAGACCACTGAAAATTACAGATAAGCTCAAACCCCCAAATTGTGATTTGGCTTTTTAGCCTTCCTCAGCTCTGCAGGCTTTGTTTAGTCCAGGGCTGTCCAAGCCTACAAGGGGTTAAGCTGAGGCCCCATGGCTCTTGCCCGGTGCTGCTTCCCACATTTCTCCTGCTGCAACAGCAGCCAAATTCTTTGGGTTCCTTCTCCTGGGGTGTGTGGCAGCGTGGCACAGCGTGGGGACCCGAGGGTGAACGGAGGCACCTGGTGCAGCAATGTGGGGTGAGGGGGCATCTCCGTGCAGTGTTTGAGGGCATGCCTGTGTTGGCACATGGTGCAGCAGGGGCAGCGGTACATCATGTGGTGTGCAGCCTGTGGCCTGTGCCTTGCCTCATGTGGCCAGCTCCCCTTGTGCAGCCTCCAGGGTGTGACCCTTGGGGACTTAGAATTTGGACAGCTCTGGTTTAGTCCATCATAAACACTGAAGCCGCTTTGGAAACCCAAGCCTGTATCTGTTTCATATTATAAACATTACAAAGTAAATCACAATAGCCCTGATGCTACTAAGTCATTGTTTTCATTCTGCTTGCATGATCCACCATTATTTTAAATTGGGCTTTGTGAAGGTTACATATAACAGTTCAAATAATTACATACAATAATTCAAGTAATTAGGCCCACTGTCATTATCGGACATGACATTATCAGCCTTTTAAAATAAATCTAACCACAGTATTTGATTGAACAAACTCCTAAAGCAGTGGATTCCACGTGTTAAGTATGTAAATATTTGCTCTTAAGTGGTGTTCATTTGCCAACAGTAACAAAACAAAATACTTCAGTATTTTCAGTTTTCCCTGGACATTTCCTATGTCAAGTATAGCAAAGTTTAAGTAACAACATACAACTGGAAAACGAATGTAAAAGCACCACTGGAAAGTTTTTAAGGGCAACCAAACTGCACAATTTATTATTTTTTCTCACTCTTGTCTTTTACTTATGGTTCCCAAATGACAAGTATTTTGAGACTGCATCTTGTCTAATATGCCAAAATTTAGGAGAGCGTTGTTACTAGGGACAGCTTTGACTTTTACTGGCAATATCGTCTTAGCTTCCTCCTCCTAGTGCTTTCTGTGTGAAGAGGACTAATGGTGAATCTAATTTTTGGTATTTCTTTATAGGAAGTACATTGTGATAGAAATAGCAAGTAAGTCTTGATGCTTTTTAAACTTTTGGCTTTTTAAAAATGTACGTGTTGAAAAATATCACCTAACTAGGTTGAAGCTCAGGTTACAAATTAACTTCATCCCCCTAATCTCCACTCTTTATTTTTAACAAATTATAGAAAGAAAACTCAGGAATGGGACCTTTGTCAGCTAGGATTTAAATGAATCAAACCGAGGAGGGAAACCAATCAATAAGACCAGTTTAATGTTCAAATGATGTGACTGGATTATCATAATTTACCCAAAGAGACAGCCCTGTTCAACCACACACCTTTTCAACGTGGTACTGCACTTTGAATATCAGTTTAAAGGGCTTTCATAAAACTTATGTAGTTTCTATAGGTTTCTTAGTACAATAGAATTAGGAAAGCATTTTTACCATATATATTAATCCCAGACCACTAAGGGTGTGGACAGACATAACACTTCGTGTTCTAAATATACTTTAAACCCCAAGAGTCTGGACATGCAGGCTATGTAAGATTGACTTAAATGTCTGGAAAGTTTCAACAGCACATGGGGAAACTAAATTATTATTTTAGGTCAATTCTATGTACTATTCTATGAACAAGCCCAACGTTGTGGGAACACAACATGGCCCCCGTGAGCACACAGAGGGGAAGGGGCTGCTCTGAAATGCACCCATGACTCTACTGTCCAAATCTCTGGTCCCAACTTTCCTCACAGGATGGACAGACAATGCCTCGGGAACAGCAGTGGGGACTGCTCTTAAGTCCCCAAATCAGGTAAGAACTTCACACCCTTCCTTCAGCACCTGCTCCCTTCCCCCCATCTTCAGCAGCCCCTCACCTACTCTCCCATTCCCTGCAGCCCTGTTGAACTGTGGCTGTTTCTGGCTGATTTGAGGGCAGGGAGAGGGCTCCAGAGCTGCTTTTACCCTGCTCAAAGTCAGGAGCAGTGGGTGAGTTCCTCCTCTCTTCCTGGTCCCCTTCTTACCCTCTGCCTCCACTATCTCCAGCTGGAGCAGGCCAGGAGTGGCTGTGCTGGAGCCCACCCCACCCTTCCCAGTCAGCTGGGGACAGTGGGGACAGCAGCAGTAGGTGGGAGAAGGGGGGAATGGGAGGAGAGCAGAGGCGCTGTAGAGGACGGAGTTGAAGACAGGCCAGATATTCTTACCTGCTTTGGAAACTGCTGCTTGCACAGTGTGGTCTGAAAGGGGGTATGTTGGCACCACTGCACCTCCGCTGGATCTGCTCCTGCCACATGGCCCCTGCTTGAGGTTTCCATGAACCTCGGGATGCCCCAAGAGCTCTGTGGCTTTTCAAGCCCTGCCTTGAAAGCTGAGCTGTCAATTTTAACCACCTTCTAGTGACCTGAGCAAAATTTTAACCACCTTCTAGTGACCTGAGCTCCAGCTTCATTTGGCACAAGTGGGATGCAAACCACACAGCTCCCCCAGCACCTGGCAACCCCTGTACACCTCCTTCTTGCCCGAAGTGAGTTTGGCCCCTTGAAGCACAGGTCTTTAGGAGGGAGGTGAAATCAACCGCTTGGCTTTCAAGGCAGAAGTTGAAAAGCTGCTGGATCATGGGGCAGCTGGGGGGAGACCAGAGCATGTAGGCTCCTGGGAACCACAAGCAGAGGACCACACAGCTCCCCAGTGTCTGGCAACCCTTTTGTTCCTGCAAGAAGGCATAATAGTCTGGGGACTCTACCATCCCCTGGTGGCCTTTTGGTGGCAGTGGAATTCCTAAAAGGTGAGGGCTCTACTTACAACCATGAGCAGTGCACGTGTGAACACTTTTGTCCAGGTCATAATTGTGAACTGGTTACCAATCAGTAACAGTCTTGGAACAGCTCCAGCACTGTGTCTGTCCACACCCTAAGCATTACTATAATCATTGTTACCTTTGCACATGGGTTTTTAAACCAGAGAAACTCATTTATAGTACATTAGCTTATTCCACTCCTATGAAACATGAATATTGTTTCCCTCACTTCTAGTGCAGTAACTATCATCCATAATAATTTCTAGCTCATCTTCCACAATGTACCACATGCCCTGTCTCTCCTCACTAGGAAGCCAAAACTTCTTTTTTATCATCTGCTTTGCAGTGTCACCTGGTTTTGTTTCCCTATGGTTCAACACAACCACTCTGGATCTTATCTTAAGTTTTAAAGGGGGCCTCAGTTATCTTTAAGGACTTGGCTAGTCTGTCTGCTGTTAATACTCAAACTGGGGAATAAATGGGGTAAGGGTAACTGGGGAAGCAAGGTAAGACACATTTGGAATGCAGGCAGGCCTCAGCAAGAGGATCTCAGCTTGAGAGAAACAGACAAACACTTATTCCTGCCAAGAATCCTACTCTTCCCTGTCTTCACATAGCTTCCCGCCACCCTATGTTAGTGCTTTTAGTATTTTTGGAAAACAGCCAGTTCCCAGATGATGTATGCAAGAAAAATGTTATAGATTGACCCTTTTTTTTTTAACCTGAGCTTTAAGATTTAGGGTTTTAGGGTTCTGGTAATTTCAAACTTTCTAAATGTGTACTTAAATTGAAAATCAAACAGAAGATAGAAAAAATATAAAAATAACAAATTCCCACTTAAAAAGGAGCTCTTATCAACTGAACAATATTTAGATTTACACTGTAAACTTTTGAGACACAGACTTTGTTGTCATACGTTTCTACAAAGCAGATTTTTTTCACCAAATAAAGGATGATTGCAATACTATTCCTTTTTTTTTTTTAGTTTCTTTGTTCTCACAACTCTTGAAGAATAAATTTCAGTGTCTGAAAAATAGTGAGAGGAATGTAAATCATCTTGGATATGTAGCTTTACTAAAACACTCAATTTTTCAAGGTGTTCACTTCAAATGATAGTTTGAGGCAATGATGTGTAATATTCTGTCCCTAAAGAAAAAAATAGCTGTAGACATACAAAAAGAACTCCAAGATCCTGCACCCTGCTGAATATACTGATCTACAGATTTCTTACTAATTCAAAGAAAAAAGTTGTAAGCTTGCTGATTCACTATACACATTATAAGGGAGATCCACGCCAGCAGAGCCAAATATATGCTTTGTGTTCTGATACTTCCCTTCTTCTCTATTCCCACATTCCATTAAAGTAAATCATAGGTTATGATACAGAAGAAACAGTGGATTGGGTTCAACAAATGACACTTGATAAGGTTGTATGCATGTGTGGCAATTATGTATTAGTGGGCAGCCTGTTACTTATTTTGGGGTTATGTTTCTGACAAAGTACAGTCTGGTTAAGTTTTCTTCATAAAACATTTATAGCTTTCTTCAGTGGTAATTATGTATATAAAGATTTATGATTAAAATGTACTGGTGTTTCCTTTTTTGACATCTTAATTGTTTTTATAATTACAGCAAAGACCTGTCAGATTCTTTACATACTATGGAATGCTCTCTGATTTTAATTACATTAAAAAGTAGTTAAAATGTATCTCATTTGAGGGTACTAGGAAGTTTGTAAAATGGTAGGTTACAGTGACAGTGGCAACGTACTGCAACATTTATAGAGGGCTAACACATCAACAACTACGGTACAATTAAAGCTTTGAGGTTTAGCAGCTACCATACCTGCTAAAAGTACA